CTTTAGTTCCTGACATTCTTGGAAGTTCTTTTGGGATTCGTGTAATATAATATCCGTGAAAAAAAAAAGGCATTTTAGTTCCACTTGAAAACAAAATATTTTGTTGTGCTTCTTTTGTACTCTTTTTAGGCATTGTTCTCGCAAGCTAATGTAGAAACAAGACACACTGAAACTCAAGGGCACAAGCTACTGACACTTTTACTTTCCAGATTTGATTTGATGATCACTTTTACCAGGCTTTTAGCAGTCTGTATCTTATCTTTTCAGATTTTATAAAGCAATGCCTCAAAGTTGCAGTTTCTTAATGCTAGTTTTGTTGGGGAAGCCGCATTTGATCATGGTGTGGAGGAGCAGTGGACGGGGAATGTAGTGTTACTGTTGCTGAGTGTTCGGTGAGTGAGGCACACCTGATGTGTGAGCCAGTTCAGAAGGGATAATTGCTGCTTTTTGTGGAGGCTAGTGGCATGTCCTATCTTTGAAATGGGAAATGTACACCAAGCACTGAAACTTTGTAATGTTTGTCTTTGTGGGCCTCCTTCGGTGGACAGTGTTACCATGGAATCGGTTAAAACTCCCATCGCACAGCTGTGTGGTCCATTTCAGATTTTCTTATAAATGCCAGCAGTAATAGCTGGGTCTTTCAACTTGTTAACATTTATTCAAAATAGACCTGCACTTCCAGTTATGTGAAACTAATATTAAGTAATGATACATCAGTAGACGCTGTTCTGATTGCAATGCAGTGGCAGTCCTGTTTCCCTGCTCTCATGACAGAACTGGAAGTTACGTGCGCAGCTCACTGAAAAGCCTTTGTAGTGGATGATTTCAGTGACAGAATTTAAACAGCATTACTTCAAAGTCGGTGAATGCTGACTTGTATGCTAAAACCTACAAATTAGGCCTAGTTGCTGTAACATGTCCATTTTATATGGTTATATAATCCGTCTGCCCTGTAGCATTCTTCTTTAAGAGCAGATGGTAGTTTTCTGTTCAGCCTGGAGATAATGTGGGTATGTGGCTGAACACTTCCCGATCAGACAGCTTTGTGTGCGTTTGTTCAAGCACTTACAGTATGTTTCCATCTCTCACTGATCGTGGCAATTACTTCTCACATATGCAAGAAGGCCCTATGTTGGCTGTAAATGAATGTATGAAATCTTAGGTGTGTAAAATCAGTTCAGCCGTCACATTTTATATGTGCATCTTCTGTGTCTGTAGTTATTCATCTTTAAAGAACACCTTTTCGTATCTTTAATTTATTTGCAATAAACATCTGTGAATTTATCACTCTCCAAATCATCCCTAATTCTCTGGCAGATCTGTGTCTTTTTCATTACTCCTCACTGTAGCCCTCCTTTATTGTAACTAAATAGCTAATCTATGCGTATTGAAAGGGATCAGGCCATAACATCTGTACATTTTTTTGTTTCTGCTCAACAAAATAGTCACGACAATTCCTACTGCTGTACTATTGTGCGAAGGAGGTTGAGGGAATTTGCTTCATAGAATCTTAATAAAAAGGAATAAATATTTGAATCTATTTAATTCAACAGGAAGTTTAAACAAAGGTCCAGAAAACAGGGAAACCTCAGCTTCCACGTACAGTAATTTTAGAACACCCATGGATTACGATCATAGTGTTTGATGTGAAAAGGGAACAAGATTAACATGAGCATCTTAACCGTACGCAACTTAAGGGTCACTGTATTAAAACCTCAGTAGCATTCTACTTTCCAGAAACAGTCTTAGAATTCCACCTGCTGGTGAACATCTGTAATCCTTTATTGAGCCATTATTATTCTCCTCAGAAGTCTAATTACCTTGTGCATATTTTTCTGAGGAGAGTAGAGATTTAATCACTTGTTGTAAAGGACGTTGGAGCTTTCAAACCTAATTAAAAATACATGCAGCACAAACAGTACTGATGTGAACCACTACACATGAAATAATTTGAGTGTCAGTGCTGACTTTCCTTGGCACGAGAACCAGATGAAACACAAGTAGCGTTTTTCCTGAATTCGCAGGCATATGGGAAAATTGTCAAATGACCGTTTTGCATCTAGATTGTGAGGTGAGATAAGGCTTCCATGTGATCTTCAGCCTTTCATTCTGCAGTGACTGGTTTTAATGATGATCTTAGGCCCGATACTGTGTCACACGAGGGGGTGCATCTTTTTAAATTTATTTACGCCATAAATGAACTCAAGTGGCCCAAAAGCAGCGTTTTGCACACATTTCGTCTGCCTGTCTCCTATTGCAATCAGATTGCAGAGTGTTTTTGATGGTAATTGTTATGGAAACCTCATTGATCTCCATTTAGCAGTGGCTATAAACAAGCCTCTTGTGTGTATTGTGTATCATCACGGCTTACGGCTAGGTCATGTGTAAAACTGTGGCGCGTGACATGCTTTTGTAAGCCCACTGCCCCACTTGTTTAGTCAGTGATGTTCTTCAGGGGCTTACTGAGGATGTCTGCATTTTGGAGTGAGAATTGTTAGTCTTTTATGAGTGAATACTGTTCAGGTTGTTACTGAGTGGCTTACAGAGACACTCATGTTGAGGCACTGACTTTCTGGATTATAAATACACCGATCTGCAAACCATATCTCATTCTCCTTTGACAAATTAACCTTTTTAAAAAACAGTTTTTACACCCCCTGGCTTGAGGTCAGGTTTGTTAGTTCAGTGGTCTTGTTTTACCTGTAAAATTGTGCACCGAGGCAGACTCCTGTTGCACACCAAGGTCTAAGGCTCATGACATCTGCCCTTTGAGTCATATACTGTGCTTTTGCATGCTCATGCAGTGAGCGTTAATGGAGGGTTTTGCTGTCTCACCAGTCTCTTGTTTCTGCTTTGAGTCTATAAGGTAGAGTGGACATCAGTTTTCTTCCAGAATGATCAGTATGAAAGTAAAGTGTATCTTCCTTTCTACCCCAGATTAGTGAATTATCTATTAAAATTATTTTTAATAGATGAATTTAAAAGGACAGATTGAAATTCCTGGTGTTGCCTGTGCAAGCAGTTTCTTTGTCTTCTCATCCTACTGCTTTGTTGGCTATAGGACCAACCCCTATTTGCTGTAGGATTTTACTGTAAGAAAAATGTTTTTTTGTTGTTGTTTTGACATTGAAGCAGACTAACCAGAGCATTTTCATATTAGGAATTGGTTTATGTCCAATAATTGGTTGGACAAATGTCTTTGTCCTCAGTTTTATATTCAGAGGCTGGGTTTAGTTCTGTTCTTGTTCTTTTCACTATGAACTCCTTTTAAACATCTTGCAGACTAATGCATGGTAAACAATATATTTCAAATTTACACTTATTTGTGAGTATGTTTCTAGATGCTCACAAATAAGTGCAGAAGAACAAACAAAAAAGTAATTCATAACACAAATAAGAACAACTGATTGCTGTAGCTAATGGCCATTGAGTGCTATAATTTTATCTTGAACAAAGACAAAATTAAGTATCTCGCTCCTGTATGGTGACCTGTTAATAGCTTTCATCAGTTCTTGCCGATGGGATTATATCATACCTTAATGCAGCAGTTGACAGATTTCATTTCTTACCCGTCTCATTTCTCTTGACCCTGAGACTAGGAGCCTTCTCGCTGAGGGTAATCAGCAAGACATTACACTGATTTATCTGCTAATTCTAGAAGGTCTCAACATGCGGCCTCAAGGCGACTAAGTGAAAGTGCTTGTAGACCTGCTCTGATATACTGGGGTCTAGGAGGTCAAAGTCTTTGTTTCATGGGAAAGAAATGGGATTTCTTTATTAAATGCTTTGGGTGAAAATAATTCAACCCTGTTGCTGACCGTGTCAAATGATTTTCTGTCTCCATTCTTGTTTCTTTCTGGTTGCACACAACATACATGTACACTCATGGTCAACATAATAACAAACCAAAAAACCCCACAAAGTATTGATGTGTTTCTAAGGCATAATACACAACTGTCACCGCCAGGTTTTAACGAAATTCTCTTAAGGTTTAAAAGTTAAAAAAAAACAGGGGTGTGGAATTTCAGAATTAATTTGTATTGTCTTCCATGTAACAAGGCTTTTACCTGTTAAATCTATTAATTGTGATATTATGTGGAAAGCCTGTCTAAAGTTATCATAATTTTCAAAATGCAAGTATACTACAGAAAGCAAAAGAGCGCTACAAGTCAACTCAGCCATTTGATATTGTAATGTATGCCCAGAATACCTTTCTTTATGAGTACTTACAGACTCTTTATGTTAGTATTATTTATGGCAGGGATAGCTTGGACTACAATATTTTTTCTAGTTGTCAGGTGGATACGCTTCACACCGGGTCGATACTGCCCTCTAGTGGCGAACGTACCAAGGAAAAAGACGATTGTACAATGTATTTGATTCTCGACTGAATGCCAAATTAGACATAAAATGACATTTACATATATGCTGTATAACAAGGATACCTTTAGCATACGCTCAGTTTCATATTTCAGAAGTGTTGTGGAAACTGTTGGGATGACTTGCTGATATTTTAATCAGTTTAACCAAATAATTTGAGAACGAAATCTCTTTTCCTACGGTGGACTGGAGGGTATTCATTTAATCATTACCTCAAGTGACTCACACTGCTCCACTGTACAACAGAAGTGACAATGCCCTCTTTAAATAAATGAGGAAAAACACCAGTTTATTGTAATGACCAAATTAGTTCAATTTTGTTTTTTTACACAGCACTCTAAATAAAAAAGTGTAGGAATAATTTCCAATTTTTCCAAAACTGGGACAAGTGACTATGCAAATGTTTGAGTTCAGTTTCTGTGAGTTCAATGTAGATGTGTGCTCCCTTCTGCGGCTTGCTTTATCCACATTCTTAGTGAGTCAGTGGTGTAGAAATGTAATACCAGAGTGATTCTCTTAGTACTCTCCAAGGAAGATGAACAAAGGCCTTTCCTGCTACTTTTGTCAGTTTGCGTCATTGTGTTGTATTTATTCACTGATGTCTCCCGCTTTCTTTGCAGATGTGAAGGGGCCACCAACGCACAGACTGTCTTGCGGCCAGTCCCCCTACTCCGAGACCACCATGTGGGAAAGGAAATACTGTATTCTGACAGACAGCCAGCTCATCTTGCTCAACAAGGAGGAAGAGGTGAGTTGGTGTGCTGTTTGGCAACTTCCAGTGTCTGGGCCCGTCTCACTGGAATGCGTTATCGTTCACTGAAGCAGACTAGAGAATGAATATTGCACCCCTTTCAGGCCATACTGATTCCATCTGAAGATAGGCACTGCTGTCTCAATCCAATTCCCCATCTTATTTCCTATGAGCACAAAATCAGTTCTAAAAGCAAATCCTTATAAAAAATGCTGTAGACTGTTTCTGGTGACCAGGCAAGTTTTTCAGCATTCCTTTTTACGTCCTTATTGTGTGCTGCTCAGACCGCCAGGTAGTGTTGACATTTCCCGAGATTTCTCCGTGATTTTCATACCTCACTACAGCCAGTTCTTTTCCCCATCATCACGTCTAATTAAAGTAATTATGGCCTGTGAATGTCATTCACAGTCTGGAGCTGATGGTAGTTCATAAAACCATAAACTATGTTGCAGTACAGGGGATGAAGGGGAGGAGGAACCTAATCGGATCTTGAAACTGCAATGTTTTGTGTCACACTGTCACCAGATATCTTTAAACGAGAAGTTCTAGACCACAGCAAGGTGGAAACTGCAAACTGAAAGGACGGGGTGTGGGAAAGTATTTGGCCCCTTTTCAGAGGTTTTGTACGAGGAAATTGTTTGAAGGGCTTTGACTTGGAATGCATGCTAGTGTGTTTTTGTCCTTTAATATGCTTCAGCTGTGGAAACTTCTAAGTATAATGAATACTGGATTAGGTAGCAGTGACATTCTTTCATTGCATGTGGTGTGGTGCTTAAGAAAGGAATTGATTTTGAAATGGGACTAGCAAGTAAACAAAATCTTTCAGCAGATCACCATGCATAGGGCAATAATTCATTACTGTAATTGAGCTTTATCAATTTATGAGGCCATTTTAGTTAGCTTGGAAAAGATACATTCTGAGTAAACTAGCGTGTTACTCAGGGATATAAAGTATTTGGTAGGTGCTTTATTAATTAAGAGAAGGAGGAATTTTATTCTTCATCTGGATCTCTTGTTTTAAATTTGAAATAAGTAAGCATCCCCTTGGTTACAAGAAAAGAAGAGGGACCAAAATGAGTAAACATACTGAACATAAAACTTAATGCATGCATGTTTTAAATACAGTAAATGGATTTTGGATATTGATTTACTGTTTTTGGTGTCATTTTGGCTGATAGATCATTAATCACTGAGTAACATTGGCAGCTCATTAGTGAGAGTTAACAGGGTAGAGGCGATGAGGTGATTTTAAGGTGTTGAATGTCAGACCTGATGAAAATGGAGGAACAGAGGAACCAATATCCTTCTGGTATAAAAGGAATTGGAGGCAGGATTAAGTGCGATTAAGTGTAATTTTTTATAGGGTGTTCAGAGCCAGAAGTTTCCAACGTGGCAAGAAAGCCTTAGAAATGCATCAATGATTGACCTCCATCGGGGAGATCTGGTCTCCCAGGACAAAGTCATGACACCTTGCTAAGATTGACACATCGACACTTATTCATCTTTGCAGTAGTTTTGTACTGCTAGTTTCACTGCATCACAAAGGCCAGACCACAGCAACCTGCACATCAGCTGTTGGACTGTGAGGAGACAATTAAACAGTCCGGTAAACAGGGCTGGTGTTTGTAGTAACAGAATAACTCAGGTGCAGCCTTTCCTGCATCCTGTGGTATTGCAGAGATTAGTGAGCAGGCACATGCTTGTCTAAATTTCACAAGAGGAATGGAAGAGATGCCAGAAGAAAGCACTTTCAACCTGGTCCAAAGCATATGCCACATATCTAAAACTTGTATTGCTTTTCAACACAACTAGCCTGTGACTTTCAGAGCAGAGACTTTACAGATCAATCTTGCTCCTGACGAAAGCACATCAGCGTAATGAATTTTCCTGTTTCAGGGCTATTCCTCAATGTATTTTTTGGTGATTGAAGAACCTGTTTCATCACATTTAGATCGATGTAGAATTAAAAAAGTTACAAATGTTTAGATAACATCTGGTTATATCTTACTCTTCCTCTGATCGTTGGCCTTGTTAGAATTAATGGTTTATTTTGGCCTCTCCCCTGCTCTCAGATGCCGGTTGAAGTGATTCACGAAAGCCCGCCTGAATCTTCCAAGGGGCGAAGTCTGCGGCGCACTGTCAGCGTGCCGTCAGAGGGGCAGTTCCCCGATTATCAGGCAGAGGGGGCTACAAAACTTGGTAAGTGTCAAAGACCTCCATTGCCAGATAACCCTCACGTTGCAGTGGGTGGAGTGATTGGAGCAAAGGCACAAATGGTTGTGTGTTTTAACACCTTTATCGTGCGGAAGTGATTATATAGAAGAATGTGACCCTGACAAATGGTTGGGTTTGGTCTCTGATTATATGCTTAACTGAGGAAAACTTTCTACTAGGATGATCTCAAAGTGGTTTGATCCCAACATATGACCACTTGGTAATATGTTTACATCTGCACTGGTCAATAAGTACTTTCTTACACTTATAGGTTATCACTACTTTATAAGCAAAGGGAATCTGTTTAGCTGAAGTTTTATCTTGCTCAAGAAAGAATACAAACACATATTGGGCAACTGTTAAGTCTGTGCTTGGTTTATTGGTAAGACTGGTTTATTTTTTAATGTATTGAATAGAAGCCTCCAAATGTTCATTGACATTGCACTTCCTTTAATTAAGTCTTTTCTGGGCACTGTGTTATTCTGTAGATCTTTGACAAAGTGACATCAGAAGTCTGTTTTAGTTATGTTGTGCCTGATGTTACAATGTCAATGTGTTAGTTGAACTTATTGCAAACAAACCATAAATCTTAAGGACCTCACCAGTAGTTTCTGCATGCGAATGACACTTTACATATAGTATATCCTTTTGTTGTAGTTCATTACTCTTTCACACTGCAGTATCAGGATCGTCCTTACCCTTGACTATTATTCCAGAGCCGATGTGTATTATAAAAAACCCTAGGACAAAGCATTTTGAAAAGTGGACTGCTCTATTCAGTCTTATATATTGAAGACACTTTGGTGGTTCAAACAAAAGATGGTCGGAATAGGCTGTCTGTACCAAGCAAACAAAGAATAATTCCTCGCATTTATATGGTGCTTTTCATCCTGGAGGAGCCTGAAGTGCCTGTACTGTCGCAGATTTGATCAGTAGATCAATAATTTGTTCAACAGATCTCAAAAATTAGATCACCAGTTGATTTAAGGGGAAATCTAACTTTAGGCAGGGCAGAGTGTGCAAGCTCAGAGTTGAATTTTAGCCAGAATATTATGGTTAACACCACTATTCTTACAATCGGTATCATGGAATTTTAATGACCAAGTGTAATGTCTCATCTGAAGGGTGACATTCTCTAAACACACTGTTTACTGTTGTCATACTAGGGTATTTGTCTGGAAAATCTGGTCCAGATATACACATCAGTTACACACCCCTCATTACTATGAATCCAAAGAGCTGCCTATGTTGTGAATATTCAGCAAGTGTAAGGTGTCATCTAAAGTCCTTTTATCTTTGTATCAATTTTTGGGGGGATTCTTAAACTTTCTATCTGCATGCCAAGTGAGACTGAACTGTTATGTTGCTCTGCTGCATGGAACCCAGTAAAGCTTCCCATGTGACTAAAGAGCAGAGATAAACTATATGCTGATTTATTTTAATGAGGTTCCTGGCGTTTGACAGGCTGGCAGAAATGTTTGGGAAAGTAGGCGTGTGCTGAGCTGCAGGAATGTGAAGCTGAGGACAAGAAAGGCTGTGTTTATCTCCCCCTGCCCCCCCCCAGAAGCAGGACTGACCCTTCAGTAATGAAGTGGGCAGAGGGCTCTCTTGGCCTGTGTGACCGCTGTGTGTTGAGTAATCTGGAGAATTAGGGGAGGGCTGCGTCCACTGACTGCTTTCTCTGTGCAAAGTCCTTTAGCACTTGTAGACGTTGGTCAGTGGGTCAGCGGAGACGAGAGAAGGTCTTTAGCTGATTTATTGTAGCAGCCACTGCAGTGGAGAGATGGACAGGCGTCAAATCTTAGGCAGGCTTTCATTCCTTGGGCTCCTTAACTGATCTCCATTCACCGCTCTTGGGTTCACAAGGGGGAGCAATGGGTTATTTATATGTTAATCTATACTTACTGTTGACAAAAGGGCCCAAAGAACTGCACTGATGATTCGCCTGTTCTTTCCGTCAAGCTTTTTTGGAATTTCAAAGCCAGAAAGAAACAATAAAAAAATAAGCAGGCAAAGATTGCTGTTTGCATGAAATTTCAATAAATACCTTTTGTAATGCAATCCGATGCATTACGTGCTTTATTTGAAATCTAAGTGTCTTGGCTAGATATACATTTTACCATAGCCTTCAGCACCTATATCATTTTTCTTTGAGAAGCTTTGAATCGAGGTATAAGGACTGCATCGATAGTTTGAGAGGGTGAAGAATAGGCAACAGATGTTACTGATATTTTTTCCAAATGTTTATCCTTTTGTTGTGGATCTCTTGCCGAACTGAAAGTTACTTTTATCCAATGAGCATGCACAAACTTCTGTGAATCAACAGCTGCCGGTCTCTTCTGCATTCCTGAGGTTGCTTAGAGACGATGAGATAAATCTTCCCTCTGTGTTTTAGATATTTCACGAAGTTTCTAGCTTGGGTGGATATTTTTATCCAATAGCTGTGTTGTATGAACTGCTAGCCTCACGCCCTCTTAATCAAAGTGCTAGATGGTGAATATCAGAGCATCTTATAGCTGCTGTCCGTAGTCTGAAAACTCCTCTCTCAAGTCATGCTGCTTTTCAGCTTAATGGTGGTGCGTGTGTTGTGGTTTGGTGAAAAAAAATGTTTTTAATTTCAGATTGATGCTAATTTTCTTTTCTTGCCTTCTCTAATGCATTTTGTCCTGCTGTAGCATGCCTTTGCTTGTATGCTTGGTGGGCTTGGTTTCTTTTGAACCAAAGGATGAATTAATTACACCTCTAGTTTAATAGATCTGGCCCAGGGGCACAGAACAGATCTATGCATCATCATATTAATGATGGACCTACCTACCAGACTATTAATGTTTATTGCTTGATAATCCCAGAAAAGAGACCAGCCCGATAGCACCATTTGTTGCAGAAAGCAGATGTCCTGATGAGTAGTTTTTCAGATGGAAGCTAAGACCGATCTGATCTGTCCCTAGTTGTCATGTGTACTTTTGCTGGTTTGTGTGTGGCATGTACTGATTTGTTTGTGAGGTTACGCCTGCGCTGATAAGGGTGTTTGGCATTTCACACTGATCAACTCTTCATATGTGCATTCTCTGTTTGAGGGATTGTGATGGTCCTTGTTTTTCCACCTATTGCTCCATGCTCTTCTGGTTTCATGGTCTTCGCTTAATCATAGCAAGGTTGGTGTTGGGGAATGAATGAAGCTGGACGAACTCCTGTGCACTTCTGTGGTTGCTCTTCAAGTGTGTCAGAGTGTCTTTTCTCAATAAGATGGTGGTGATCTTAGTGAATGAAAATGATGTACAGAATAGGTGCTTTTTTTCCCCATGTAGCTGGCCAGACAGGAGATAATTACACTGTCCCAATGTACTGGCCTGTAAGACAGTTGCAAAATCGTATGGCCTAATTACACATCTGATGCACATGAAACACTGCAGCATTCAGACGAAGCAGAGGTTTAAAGGCGTTTGTTAGGAAAGTCTTTGTTTCAGACCAATGAGGCTAGCAAAGCAACGTTAAATCAGTTCAAAACCTGATGGACGTGAGAGCAGCACATCTTTAAGATTTCTCCCACGCAGCATGCCGACTTCATAGATGGCAACATCATATCACAGCTGCACAGAACTGCAGAGGGGATGAGGAAGTGCCGTCTCTTTTTCTGAGACCTTGAGTTTTCTCATTGAAGGACATTTAAAATCTCTAGCTTTTCAGGAGTGGGGTAGGGGTGGGGGTATAACTGTGTTATCTGCTCTAATTACATTAAGGTCACTTCAAGTTCATCGGCAGTGGTTTAGAAACTATTCAATCAGGGGAGCCACGCTGTAATTTGTTCTGATTTTTTTGGGGGGGTTGACAGCTGCAGCTTTCATTTTGCTGCAAAACATAGAATCATGCAAATCAATTGGGAATTTATCAATTCATCTTCCGTTTAAAGCTGAAATAGAACAAGTGGTTTTGGCTATAGCAAAAAAACACAAAAGGGGGGACTGTCCTGTGAGTGACACCACAGCAGATGCTCACATCAGGGTTTTAGCATCACTTTATTAACCCTTTACGATTTCTTGCATTAGGAATTACCTTTTCGCATACCCCAGCTTGCTCTCCATGAGACACACAGACACACAGATAGGGAGAGAGCGGTTGGGGTTAAGGGCCTTGCTCAGGAGCCCAGCGGAGTAGGATTCCTCTGCCGGCTGCGGGATTTGAACCGGCAACCTTCCAGCCACAGGCGCAGATCCTTAGCCACAGAGCCACCGCTTTGTTTAATTTCATGTTTTGAGCTGTTGAACTTTTTGGTACTTAAACGTCATTTATCTCAACAATGCTTCAGATTTGAACCCCTGAAAGACATTGTACTTCCTTTTTACTGGAGCCAGTCCTGGTGTTTCAGTTTGGTGAGATGTGATTTAGTGTTTCTAGGAGTAACTGTGGTGGTTGACTGTCCATGGTGTGATTCAGCTTTAGGACTTGCACCATGAAGGCATCAGTACCAGAGTTACAAACCTTTGAGTTTGTCAAATGCTGTACATTACAAGCACATATAATATACACAGCAGGAAAAGGGGCATGATTTCTCTCCTGAAAAATAAAATGCATAGGGTTTTTTTAAGTATATTTTGCTGAAAGGTTGTTACTTTTGTTACAGTTGAAACTGAGAGAAACATTTGACTTAACTGCTGTGGTATTACACAATCATGTCTGTTCCAGGATTCACTGACAGAGGCTTTAAGAACAGTCGCATAATTCACACAGTTCATTGTTCTGACAGTTTGTTGAAAGAACTGGCTCCAGGAAGCATGTTCAGAATCTCTTCGAATACTTAAGATTTTATTTCCTTGTAGGTTTCAAGACGGAGACTGTGATACTGGTGCTTTTCTTTTTTTTTCTAGTAAAAGACACATTATGATCTAGATAAATACTTCCTGAAAGCTAGGATTTCTTTACATTTTATTTTTTACTGTACATTAGGTTGAATTAGTTATCTCTTATATTATTTTGCACTTATATTTTTATCGTGAACTGCACATTTATCCATCAGAGGACATACTTTTGAGTCTTAAAAGTTTATATAATTGGTGAATTCAGATTTAGTTTTATTGTAGTCATACATCGTCTTTCTCCTGTATTTTTGTCATTTCAAAGAAGGTATAGTTCGCAAGTAACAGATTCTTGTTGAATTTCCCCCACAACTTAGGTGAAGCATATTGATAGAAGAAGACATACAGTATAGAAAGATTCATATCTCATATACAAGAAAACATAAGAACGAAAACAAAACAAAATTCAGTTCTGAAGATTGGTCATTTGCATTGATGCACTACTGAAAATGGAAAATACATGCATACTGTAAAATCTGAAGAATTTCCAACACTAAAACGTCTGAACTTGTACAGTATATACCCTTTTTAATTGTTCCTGTTTCTTATTCTTCTTACTTTCACTACCTAAACTCTCCCCCAACCCGTATGAATACTGTATCTAGAGCTCTCCTTGCAGTACAGCATTCCTGGTTCCCCAGTCAGAAGGAGGACTTTGTAAGTGTTGATTGTGTGGGACTGATGAGCCAGAGAAAGTCAGTAGACTTATTGCAGATGTAACATCTCTGGTTACTGGGAAATATTTAGCCAGTGCAGTTGTGGTGCTTTAGGAGCAGTGAAGAAAAGCAGGTCTGAGTTCCATCACATTCTAGCTTATTCAGAATTTAAAGCACTTTGTCCCAAAGGCTATTGTTAAATAAAAAAAATCTTGTAAGCAAACCTTAACTTAGAACGCAAAAGAGAAGAGACCCAATTAGGATTTCCTGTTTCCTTCACACTGTTTTGATCAACGGGTTCATGGCAGATTAATTTATAATACATTGAGCCCACAGCTTTTCACACTGGTTTGCTTTCTTATGCAGTGTTTTCTCTCAGAGATAATGCATGAAAGTCTAGTTTTTTTTCCCCAGCCAGACTTCCAGCCTATTTCTAGTTTACACTGTATTAAGTTGGAACTAGTCACTAACAACTAGCACTATCCTTCTTGTCTCTAGATTTAGTGAGTGTATAGAAAGATGAGTCAATATGTCCAAGAACAGACTGACAGGTTTACACTGGTGTTTTTTTTTTAATTCATGGCATTAATAAACCCTCTACAA